AGTACAAAACATTTTAACCTCAAATATAAAGTGTCAATTTAAATACAACTTAAAAGCTTAAAAAATACAAAATATAAAAAGAGTAGATAGAAGTGGACAGTGATCGGACTGACAGATGTAAACAGAACTGTGCAGTAAACGAGAAATGCATATAAATATATACAGAGCTATGTACAAGTATGGTAAATACTAGATACTAAATGATAAGTTAATAAGGTGCATGCTGAATAATGGAACATGTTTCTTTTCCATCCCTTCTCACTACTTTAGGATGTATCTCAGTGGCATATTTCGTGCATTATTTCACCCCTGGTTTGAGTAAGACTTTGCATGCATTTAATTTAATTGAATACTTAATTGAAGTCTTTCAATCATGATTTTTTTTTTGTTTAGTTTTGCAACACGAACGCAACTTTTAATTGAACCTGTTGCACGGAAGGAGACATTATGACAAACACTGGAGGTCTCCCCCCCCCCCTCCTCCTCCGGGGTCTTCATCCCCCTGCAGGTTGCAGTTTCCCTCCCTGTCTGTTGCTGGACTGCAGAGACACAGAGAGGTCCGTCTCATTCCACCTGCATGTTTCTGCAGCGCAGCAGTACAGTGAGCTGCTGTCCTGACTGCACCCCAGGACAGATGCCAATTTCACACTCCCATAAAACAACCACCTTCTTGTCTTTCCCACCGCTACGTTAAAAACCCTCGCTGTTATTTTTTAGTGCTGCTTTGCAAGTAGCAAACAAAAAAAAGTTGCTCACGATGGATTCTAAGCGAGATAAAGAGCAAGGTAAGTTGTACCCGGATAGCTTGTTGCTAAATGCTTGTGCTAGGTAGATAGCCGCGGCTTAAGCTAAGCTGCAGCTAACAACGCATCCCTCGTTGCACAACATTTTACGTTATGCCATCATCAGAGGAAGAAAAAAAAACCGAATAATTACCATTTCATTGAATTACCCAACCCACTTTTTTTTCATTCGACTGAGTCATTCCTCCGCCCGCTGCATCACGACTTGCAGGTTGCAGCATACATTAGCTACCCGGTGGCTAGCTGTGAAGCTAAGCCAAACACCCATCACCTTTTTTTTATTTTATTTTTTTATTTAAGTAAACAAATGCAAGACGTGTGGTGGCCCCTTTTTGTCCTCCTCTGACCATTTCCCCCATGTTAAAGTGGTGTAGTGCTACCCTGTCTTCCACCCCCTTGCACAGCTTACATTGAAAGTAAATAAATATAACTTGTTTTATAATATTCTAGGATAAAATAAAAAAAAAGGCAAAAGCAGACCCCCAGCATCATTATTTCTAGTTAACCTGATGAGTCTTCTCTTTCAGTGACGCTGTTGTCCCCAGGGAATCAGTGTTTCACTTGTGCAGGCTCATGAAAAGAGTGTGCATGTGGAGCAGTCTTGAGTTCTGTACTGATCCTGCCTTGGGAAATAAAACCAAATATAACTTCATCAGTTGTTATTCATGCGTGCAGCTTGGATGGCTTACACCGTCATAAACAACACACTGGCTTGCACATCATCCCATGTGTGTGACCCCCCCCTTGTCCTCTGGAGATGGCAGACGAAAAGCTCAGTGTGCTGCTGCCACATATATTCAAAATTCACGGTCCGTTTGAATTGGGATTTACTATTTGCAGATGATTGCGTTGGTAATTTGATTGCTCCGCCGTAACCAGAAGAGACACAATGCTTCCAGCGTTTTGGCTTTTTTTTTTTTTTTGCAGCGCTGACTCACAAATAAAGGAGTCTGGGACTGTGTTGCCTGGTTAAGGAGCAGCAAAGTGCTTTGTTATACTGCAGTGTTGTTTCTCTTAATTCTTTCAGATGCAGACGTAGAGAAGATCACCGCTGTGCTGCTCAAGTCGCGTACAGGAGAGTTTGATTTGGAGTCGATACTGTTTCTTAAATTGAGAGGTCTTGGTAAGATGTGATTAATGTCTTACTATTCAAACTAGCCTTATAAGTGCGTTATCATCCTGAAGGTTATGTGTTTTTCTCGCAGGAATACATGACCTTGGATGCATCGGGGAGTGTATGAATTTAGAGAGACTGGACCTCTCTGGAAATAACGTTTCAAATTTAGCTCCTCTAGCATCTCTTCGGCTTCTCTTTGTGCTCAATTTGTCCGCCAACAGGATTTCCAATTTAGGTAAGATTCCAGGAGTAAAATACTCACTTTTACCCACTATTTTCTTCATCATGAGTAGAAATACTATAGTTGATCTCACTGTTATTGTGTTTTCACTTTTGTTATTTAGAGCCCCTGCGCAGTTGTGAGAGTTTACAGAACTTAAATGTGGCTGGTAATATCATCTCAAGGTATCCCTTTTTAATCTTTTTTTAAATGGATGTTTGTTCTACTAGTAGCTTTGATTGAAGAGCAATATCCTACATTCAATGTGAAAATGATCATGTTTAACCGGTTTGTGTTTTTCAACAGCATCGAAAACCTTCACTGCCTTCAGTCTTTGAGGAAACTAGAAAATATACGTTTTAAAGACAACACTTACAATTACTCTAATCCAGGTGAGTTTGAGTGACTCTTTGAAAGCAACCCACAAATAATAATATTCCTAAGCGAACCTAAAACAATTCTTTACTGTTTGTCAGTTTGCAGGAACTCGTCATATAGAAACATAGTTCTGGAGATGTTCCCCAACATCAAGGTGCTGGATGGTAAGATATAAGTGGATATTTTCAGTCTATTGGATGATAGTAAAGTTAATATTATTTTCAAGCTGCATGCTTCAGTGTTAAACTCAATGTATTTCTCCGATCTGACTTTATTTTCTACTGCAGTATTTTTTTAAACATGTCCTAATGTTAGGTTTAAGGATGAACTGCTCATGGTTTTTAAAATGACCTGCATGTGCACATAGACTTCACATGCAGCACACAGCAGTATGAGACTAAACAAGATGTCAGCTGAGGTTTTAATTATATGTTAAGATGCAGTGAAAGACTGCACATTAAAGTAAATCAAATCAGAACTAAAAAAAAATGAACAAATCGTTGAAAACGAGAAAAGATGACTTTGGACACTTACCTGCTTTTGTCTTTTGCCTTTCTTATGTAGAGATCCTACAATTCTGCCTAAGTTAAAGCCTCACCATGACAGGACATTTGCCCTTTTAAACTGAAACAAACAACACTGGCATATCTTTTCCCCAGTGGGCAATTTTGGACACCATTGCAAAAGAAGCGTGAAATGTAAACATTGTGTCTGCATCAACACACAGCCCTGTCGTGTCCTGCAGGCAACCCCATTTACACAGACACAGATTTTGCACTGTTATAACCCCTGTTGCCAGATTTGCAGCACAGGGATGTTACCCAACCCATTCTGTCTTTGACTTGGACAGGCGGTGTGAAAGAAGGTGCTTTGTTAAAGGTACTCCTGAAGTGTGCAGTCTCTCTTTTAAACAGTTGTTAAAATTGTAGGTGAAAGAGTTGTCGGACGTGGGAGTGACTTGTACCAACTATGCAAAGACATTGATGAGACCATCAGAGGTACGTTTCCTTACTAGTGTGTTACTGGGTCATTTAAATGTAATTTTTATCTTACACATGCCAAGATCTTCAACTGTAATGTCCAAGGAATACAATTTCCTTTACAAGTTAAGTAAAGTGTACTCACAATCTGTCTGTTTGTCTGTCTTCCTGTGAATGTTTAGCTGGATTATACAAAAACGGACAACTCGTTGAACATTCTGATTGCAAACCGTGGGTGGAAGACAGTTACTGGGACATAAAGCGGTCAAACAATGCCATAATTGATGAAGCCTACAAACAGTTTAATGGTAAGACTCATATTGTTTGGGGGGGGGGGGGATGGTGCATGTGAACTTCCAGCTGTAGACTCAACTCTGTTGTGTACATTTCTGTTTCTACAGAAGTTCTTCATGAATGCAGACTCCTCAACAACAGAGCCACACATGTTATTTCACAAACTGAAAGATCCATGAGTCTGAAGAAGCAGCCCAAACAATACGCCATATAAGTGGGAATATTTTGGACACATTTGTGCAACATTTAGCATCTTTTTGTGTATGAAGACCCATGCCTAATGTACTGTAGGTGTTTTCAAATTGCTAAGCTATATCCAAATGCTTGACAAGTATAATTGCCAGATACATGTGCTGCAGTGTGAGGCATTTGTTGAATTTCTGTTACATCCTATGCATTGGATGACGATATACAGTATGTAAGTGGTTTGAAAACCGTTCTCCATTCTGACACCCTTCAGTTTGGTTGAAAGATGTCTTTACTTGCACAGTGTGCATTTTGTACCATGTTGTAGCCTGCATTTATGCTCAGAGCTATGCTGCTAAAGAATTTCTATAAGTTTTAAGTAATTAAGAGCTTTTTTCCATTTTGCATTGTTAGATAATTTGGGGAGTTAATGTGCCCCATGCTGTATGCTTTCTTTGTAAGTTGAACTTTTGCAAAATGCAATCAAGTGATTGTTTTAGCTGTTTCTACTTGTTTTATATCATAAAGTTTATTATGTGTATAATCATATCTACAGTCTTCTTTTGGACCAGTCATACATGCATTTTTTTCAGTATATGCTCATACAGAGGAAAAAAAAGGTTATAATAGTCACATATGTTGACATTGGACGAATCTCAGTAGCAGTCCACTGGCGCCATCTGCTGGTATCTTGGTGTAGTAAATTTCTCAGGTCATCATTATTCCACACGAAATATCGATAGTATGTTTATAGTCACTGATAAGAGTTTATTATCAGAGAGGTTTTTATTTTATTTTATGTGTTTATTTATGTTTTACTGTCTGTAATACATGCAGAGGTATGACAGTCCAGCTGAATCCCCTTCAAACATGATTTGAATTATGGAAACAGCAGCATATGCATGCACGGTATTCAAACTAAATAAACATTTCTTTTACTGTGATAAGGTGTCATATTATATGTGGCATTTTTAAATAACGTTTTAATTCCGAAAAGTGTTCAGACCGGAAATCCGGTTCGTGTTGCGGTGTCGTGAGCTTTACGGCTGCTGCTGCTTCTTCTGCCGCATCGACCTTGTCTAGCAAAGGATGGCAGGGAAGGCGTGGAGGTCAGCGGTACGTATAGAAAAATACTTTTATATTTCATCCCTGTTGCAACAAAGAGATTGCACAATGTTTCGTGTGACCATTTTTTTAATTTTTAATTTGCCTTTAGTTTACGCATTCAAATACTGCCTGTAAACCAGGAACAGCTCCTGCCCTGGCTAACCTAGCTAATGCACAGGCTAGTAGCTTGTAGTTACTATGGCAACCTAACTTAACTATAAAGACTAACTGTATGGCGTCCAAGAAGCGAGTTTTAGGTCTGTGCACATGTTCAATCATTTGTGATGAAGCTAAACTCCTCAAGAAAAAGTTTGCAAACATAATTTCGGTCAACTATTTCGCCCCCTTTAATAATACTAACTGGTGTTGTATATGTTGGAAAGCCTGATTAGTCACCATTACAGTGAGGTTTAACTTGTAAGGGTCGTGCTTTAGTGGAGTGAGCAACACAGGGAGGTAACACCCCCAAAACAATGTGCCAAAATCAATGCAATAATTCTTCTGTTGGTATTCACGCCTGTTTTGCTTTTAAGTGTTTCCAGGTGTGTGCCAGTCATAGGTGCATGACTGGCAACCTGATTGACAGCACTTAAATCAATCAATCTTTATTTGTATGGTGTTAATTCATAACACTTGTGTGTATGGGTCCTGCATACTGCTGTGTGCTGCATGTGAAGTCTCTGTGCACATGCAGGTCAGCTTAAAAACCATGAGCAGTTCATTCTTAGACCTAATATTAGGGCATGTTTAAAAAAATACTGCAGTAGAAAATAAAGTCAGATCTGAGAAATAATTGAGTTTAACACTGAAGCATGCAGCTTGAAATTAATATTAACTACTATCATCCAATAGACTGAAAATATCCACTTATATCTTACTGTCCAGCACCTTGATGTTGGGGAACATTCCAGAACTATGTGACGAGTTCCTGCAAACTGACAAACAGTAAAGCATTGTTTAAGTTCACTTAGGAATATTATTATTTATGGGTTGCTTTCAAAAAGTCACTCAAACTTACCTGGATTTGGTGTCAGCCCTGGTACCATTTCCAAACTTAGTTCCGTGAGACTGGTGATATAAAAGACAGACTGCGGAGTGGGCGTCCCAGGAAGACAAAACCCCAAGAAGACCGGTTCATAAGCCCTTGCTTCACTGACAAAACGTAGGCTTTCTCCCAGAGATTTACAGGCAAGATTTGCACAACGGCGCCACAGACAGATCTCAGATCAGAGAGTGAGGAACAGACTACACATTGCAAGTCTTCGAACTAATAAGGCTGCCAGTGAGCCTTTAATGAGTGCCCTTCACCGTCAGGCCCGTTTGCGCTGGCGTCTTCAGCACCGACGGTGGAATCCAAGAATGTGGGGCAACGTCATGTTCAGTGAAAAAGCAAGGTTCTGTCTGCGGAAGCTGGATGGCAGGCTCAAAGTGTAGAGACGGCGTGGTCTATGCAGGTTGCTGCACAGATCGCGTGACATCTCTCAATGGGGGCGGTGTGGTGGTGTGGGGCGGTATCTCTCTCACAGGCAAAACAGAACTTGTCATCATTAAAGGCAAGCTCAATGCAGTGAGATATCGAAATGAGATTCTGGAGCCAGTGGCAGTCCCATATCTCCAGAATATGGGACCTAACTCCAAACTCCAGGATGACAACGCTCTCCCCCACAGAGCCAGGATCCTTCACAGAGTACCTCCAGAATTTGGGAGTGGAGAGGATGGAATGGCGTGCTGTGAGTCCAGACCTCAACCCAGTTGAACACTTGTGGATCAGCTTGGGCGTGCTGTATGTGCTAGAGTGAACAACACAAACACGCTGGTTGTATGGATCTTCCACCAGCTACTGATGTCCCTGACAGTGTAAAATGAATAGAGTGTAAAAATGGCCTATTTGTGTTGTTTTTTTCCTTATTATTATGGGAGAGTGCAATCATCCATTCCAGCAAGCAACTCAAAACAGGACTAAACACCAAAAGAAGAATATTGCAGAGGATTTTGGCACATTTCTTGGGGGCGCTACCTACATGTTTAGCTGTGTTGTTTATTCCACAGACGCACGATCCTTACAAGTTATACATCTCGTTGTAATGGTGACTAATCAGGCCTCCCAACGATAAACAACAACAATAAGTATTACGGTATTGAAGGGGCGAAGTAATTGACCAAAATAGTGTTTCCTAACTTTTTTTTGAGGAGTACCAAATACTGTATCTATGAAATGTCCCTCATTTTCAGATTCTTAATCTCCTAAGAAAGTGGGGCGTAACGCTCCATCGCGAGGATAAAATCAAGGCACAGGAAGTAAGTTGAGCACTGAGTTTCCTCGCTGCGTCAGAAAGAGCGAACTAGCAGACTCCCTTTTGTTGAAAAGTGAATCAAATCTGAAATGGACATTTTGCTTTGCATATTTCTAAGTTCAGAGCACCTTTGCTTTTGCGCTTCTGCGATAGCCTACCTGGCTGCTCTTAAACTGAGAAACAATTTACTAAACCTTTTTTTTCCTGTACAGCTAAGTGTGACGTCTTTTCATATTTTAACTGTATGAAATTAAAAACACTTTCCTTTGTGGCAGAAGTTATTAACCCTTCATCCCCATACATAAACTACTATCATCACACACTATCATCTTTTGGGGTTAGGATTTTATGATCAGTCCAGGCCTTTTAAATTGTAGATAATCATTAATTCTAAACAAGACAATAGCCAATGCTTATATAGTATGGCTAGCAGGCTATTTAACAAGGACTGGTAATTCCACTTTTTAACTGTAGTCTTAAATTCAGAATGTCTGTTACAGATAGCTTCATCTATCTATCTATCTATCTGTCTATCTATCCATCTGTCTATCTATCTATCTGTCTATCTATCAATGCTTCAAGCTGTTTTTTTGTTTAGATTAGATTTAGATAACTGTTGTTACTTGTGACTCTTGTATAACAGCGGTAGAAAAAAGTGTTTACTTTATTGTTACATTAAAAGTGAACAGCACTCTTGATTTAGCATGCTTGATGGTAAACAGCACACATTTCTTTGGTTATTCTGCTCCTGCTATGTTCCCTCCTTAAAGCACCTTAAATCGACATAACGTCCTGTCTCTGTGTTAAAAAATGTTCCCATCCTCTGGTTTTACCACATAACAGCCCTGTGAGGTAATAAAGCTTATTTTGAGGAAAAACCTGATCTCTCACTTTGATTGTCAGGTGTCATGGGCGGTTGGAGCTTTGAAGAAAGAGACTCCACAACCCAGGACGTTCACCAGCGGGGTATGTAACTGTCCCTCAGAGGTGCAGTAAAGTATTCTTAACAATTTGCGGTGTCTCTTAATCCTGGTATTAAATTGTGATTATTCTGAAGTACGTAATTATTACTGTATGACTGAATGTCATGTGTCTTTATTCGTCCTCTTAGATTAAAACTGTAACATTAATCCCTGGTGATGGAATTGGTCCTGAGATCTCCTCTGCTGTCATGAAGATATTTGAAGCAGCCAATGTAAGTTCTGAAGGAATAATATCATTGTACAAATGTACATAAGGAACATAACCTAGAAAATGATTCACAAAGTAGCAATGGAGTAGACTGCTCTTCATTTGTATTGATTATTATTCATATACTTGATCGATAGGCCCCCATTCAGTGGGAGGAAAGAAATGTTACAGCCATCCAAGGACCTGGTGGAAAGTGGATGATCCCTCCTGATGCCAAAGAATCAATGGACAGGAACAAAATTGGCCTTAAAGGTAGCATGCTTAATAATCGCTCTATTACCTATCATATAAATGGGATCAACTGTTGACATTTAAATGCTGGTAGTGATGATATACCGGTAGATCTTTTTTCTACACGAGTGACTAATCTCTCCATCCCAGTAGCTCTACAACGATTAATTTCAGCAGCAAAACATAGTAAAGATTTCTTTTTGTAAATAGCACTTGCTAAAGTTAACCTCAATACAAATGTTAACCCTTATGTCAGAAAGAGATTTTGGTAAGTTTGTTATTAATACATTTGGTTAATACATCTGGTTTAGATCTTACCCTCCAAAGAGGTGTTTTCTATCTGTGTTGGCACTTTAACTAGTAAATCATTTGATCTATCTATAGGACCTTTAAAGACCCCAATAGCAGCTGGTCATCCCTCTATGAACCTGCTGCTGAGAAAAACCTTTGACCTCTATGCCAATGTGCGCCCCTGTGTGTCTATCGAGGGTTACCAGACCCCTTACACTGATGTGAACTTGGTTACCATCAGGGAGAACACTGAGGGAGAATATAGTGGGATTGAACATGTGGTAAGGGAATCAGCATAACATTTTTTTTAAAATATTTTTCTGAAATCATTCACACTATTTGAAGTTTACAGATTTGACCCAAATCTTGTTTTGAATTTGTGTATTTTTCAGATTGTCGATGGAGTAGTTCAGAGTATTAAGCTTATCACAGAGCAAGCCAGCGAACGCATCGCAGAATATGCTTTTGAATATGCAAGAAATAATCAAAGAGCCAGTGTTACTGCTGTTCACAAGGCCAATATCATGTACGTTATATTCCATTCAAATTCAATGGAGTATTTTTTCATTCAAAGCTATTTCCCGAAATGATTATTTTAACCCATTTGTCAATAGGCGCATGTCAGATGGGCTCTTCCTACGAAAATGCAGAGAGGCTGCTGAAAAGCACAAAGAAGTGAAATTCACAGAGATGTACTTGGATACTGTGTGTCTTAATGTAAGTCCTGATATCTCTTGTTATTGATTTTCATAGTTTCATAGTGGATGGATAAATAGTTAAAAGTTTAAAAATGTTCCTTAAATAATAAAGGCATTATTAATACATGTTTTTACAGATGGTACAGGATCCCACACAGTTTGATGTGTTAGTGATGCCAAATCTGTACGGAGACATTTTGAGGTAAGATAGATGGCCTTTTCTGATATTGCAGCAAACAGAAATCTTGCATATATGCACATGTAAAAGCATACATAATCTGGCTTTGTCTTCAGAGCACAAAATTAGCACCAGCCAAGTGCTGGTAACATAAGTAACAGGAACTCTTGCGTAACTTACCAGACCCTAAAAAACACAACTATAATCAAATGAGTGGTTAATGTAAATGTAGAAATGTGTGTTTTTTTTTTTTTTTTAGTTTAACTGTGGTAAACTAAATTATAAAAGTTTAACTCAAGTGAAAGGAAAGGTGTATAACAAATTTGAATACATCCTTCAGATTAAAAAAGGTAAAAGAACACAGGTTTGGTCTGCATCAGTTCAGAATTAATAAGCCTGGCATTTATGTATGCTCTGAAATAAATCTAAATTTACCTTTGCAGTGATCTTTGTGCTGGACTAATTGGAGGTCTTGGAGTGACACCTAGTGGAAACATTGGTGCCAATGGTGTTGCCATATTTGAGTCGGTATGTTCTATTTCCATTCTTAAGACTCGTTTTTCATAACAGGCTCAGATGATTTTGTGAAGACACATTGCAGTTTTATTTGTTTGTTTTTCATATCTTTTCAGTCGTTTGTTTGTTTTTCACAGCAGTATTTTCAACTATGATGAATGATTGTTGTTTAAATCCTCTGTCAGGTTCATGGAACTGCTCCAGATATAGCAGGTAAAGACATGGCCAACCCCACCGCCTTGCTGCTCAGTGCCGTCATGATGCTTCGGCACATGGGCTTGCATGGCCATGCCAAGAAGATTGAAACTGGCTGCTTTGACACCATACGAGACAAAAAGGTAACCTCCGTTTAAATAATTTGTGCTCTACTATTTTCATTAAATCTTCCTGTTTTGATTCATAAAGTTTGTGTTTGTTTTTTGTCTTCAAGGTTCTAACGAAAGATCTGGGAGGAAACTCAAAGTGTTCAGAATTTACAGCGGAAATATGTCAAAGAGTGCGGGATATGGACTAAAAAGGTTTCCCAGGTGTCAGACTGGCTGTGTGTTGGCTGCTTGACAGCTGCGTTTTTATTATGGCATGTATAATATGCCCAAAAACTAGAGAATAGAAGGCTTGCCTATTTTACCACAAGCAGTGCACAGTACTCTTCAAATATCTAATTAAATTGTAGATGTAGAGCGCTATATTGCCTCTGTATGAGCAACATGTAGATCTACATCAGAAGAGAATGTGACTGGCTTGAAAACAAATGTACAAATCTTAATAACATTTATGAGGCCAATGAATATACAAACACATATAAAAACCTGTGAAGGGAGACGGGTGAGAGCAGGGACATGCAGCCAACACATGGCCCGTCTGAATCCTGCACACACTGGAGCCTCATGCAATCAACACACAGCCAGTGTGAAGCGGTCCTTAGGATCTAGCTCTCTTCACTTCATCATGATATATTGTATCTGCACATTTTACACCAAAATATGTATTTAAAGAAGACTCAGGAATTGGAGTTCCTGAATGTTAAGTTTTCTCTCTGCACACTCCAAAGCACTGTCTTCAACATGTCGACCTAAAGTTACTGTAGATGTGAATATGAATCATTCGTAAGATTTGTGATCTGTGTTGGATATCGTCTATTTATTGGCTGAATAAAGCCTCTTGTCAGATGTTTTTTACACAGTTATTTAAACATTGAAGGCACATTCCATTGACCATCATGAGCTTCCACTGTCAAAAGGTCACACTAAAAAAATCAATTAGTAGATATATTAAACTTTTATGTGGTTTAAAAATGACAATTGTGGCTTTAATGATATTAACTCTGTTGCATGAAAGTTTCAGATGTCTTGGTGTATTTTTTTTTTCACGTCTTACTGTTTTTCTTTCTGCAAATATCATGAATGTAAACTGTGAAGAAAAATAATATTACAATGAACTCAAAAATGCTGGGCCCTTTATTCAGTGAACTTGCCACTTGTTCGTTTCATAAGCCACCTCAGCTCATGATTTTAAGAGTAAAAATGAATTGTGAAGCCACACTATTCTCATCGTTCCATTAGCAAATATTATTCATTACTTCCAACATATTCTCAGTTTCCTCAAAAATATTAAGAAATGAAATGTTTTCCATACTATTCATACATTCTGATTGTGTACACATGACACAAATCTATATTCAATGCAAGTCAACAAGAATGATAATATATGCAAGTGAAGCATGATTTTCATACTTAAAGTTACACAGCCATTTCTCTAGGAATTTTTTAGATATTTTTTTGGGTCATTTTTGCCTTTATTGGATAGGTCAGCTGAAGAGAGACAGGAAATGTTGGGAGGAGAGAGTGGGGGATGACATGCAGCAAGAAGCTGATGTTGGATTGGAAACCCGCAGCTGTTGCAACCAGGACTATACATCCGTGGGGCATGTGACCGAGCCACTGGGCTATTTGGAGCCCCCGACACTATTCTTGATAGAGGCTCTCTTTGTATATCACTTTGTGATACATCTTCAACATGGCTGGGCGATGAAGCTTCATTCTGGGTCCTGTAAAAGAAAACCTATCAGCACTTAATTCCAAAAATCCAACTAAAAAAAAGCCTTATTTAGCCTTTTCTTTTATTAATAAACATATATAATTGAAATGTAGGCCGTTGTTAACATCCTGTTTTGTCAAAAAAACATTCTAGGACAGACTGCAAAATAACAAAACTAGAAAACGAGATTTATTTTAAGACAGAAGAACATTTTTAACAGCTAAAATAAAATAGGCTGCAGCCTTTCCTTTGGTGTGTTAATACTGTCAATGTAAGTCTTTCAATAGTTCACTGTGCACATGTTTATTTCCAAAGATACAGTTACAAAACATCCCATTATGAAAAAAACTGACCTTTTGGGTCACAAGAATAGAAAAGAACTTCCTCTTGTCAAATGAGCATGACATTGCTGATAGGTTGCTCCGTCTTCACTGCTTCCTCAAAGGGAACAGGAGGAATATTCTCTTTTCTATCTGAGGTAATTCACTCTGATTAGAGAGTGAGAGCACCCTGACATCACATCTGATTTGTTGCAATGATGATGTTGCTGTATATTCTGTCCAGAACAACGTGCTCAGGTTTGTTATACACCGAACGTGAGCTGGTGACCTTAAAAAAAGTAATTATTTCGACACTAGCCGTATTGCTCAGTTAGCTCTTCATTTCATTATCTCTGTGATGTGAGGAAAAAAAACATCTTTGTGTATTCATCAGGTTTCTACAGTACAGTCATTCATCTACATTTTACTTGTCTAGTCCATATTTCATAGACCCATGAAAATAATATCTCCCCAAAGGTAAATTTCACTCGTGGCCTCAAGAGTCTATGGGCCATTTGGTCATGACAGGCTCAATGTTACCACGGCTTTAACCGAGAAAATCCTTATTTCTGTAGTTTCTGTTCATGAAATTCAAAGCACTTAAACATAAAAAAAATCCAAATATAAATGTTACATTTCTTTTATTTCTTCATAGGCCTATTGTAGTTTGCAAGCTTTGTGTCCTAAAATGAAGTGAGGGCATGTGCTCATGCTATAAGCCTCACTAAAGTGGATATTAAGGCAAAAAAATAAGAAAACTTTGAATCCGTTTGTTTTCATGTCCTATTCTCTCACTATTGTGTATCTTAGAGAGTAGCCTAACTCAATAAACATGCAGCATAATCCTTTTTTTGTGGGTAAAATTTTTTGAATGTGCCCTTCCAAAGAGCTTCTAATGAATTAAGAAAAACAAGATTAGCTACTTTTAGTTTTAACTTCTGATGTTAAATCGTAGATACTTTTATTCAGACCCATAGGTACATGTCATTGTAATAAAGCACAAGAAATATAAATACAGGATATCACCATCAAAGGGATAAAATCACTACAGTTCTCAAGTTCTCAGTCATTAAAATACAAAGAGACATATGCACAAGAAACCTGAGGAATATCACCTAGTGTGGGCTGAGTGAGAGCTGTTATAATACAATTTTCTGAATCACTACTCAACTTATAAACGTATAAAACAAATGTCTCAATACGATATGAAATATTCTAAATGCATCATTATATGCTACCTAACTTTTTCATTTTATCTTTAATGTAGGCCTACTTGCACCACAAGCGAGCAGTATCCTACAGCGGAGTACAATAAGCTCTAAAAAAAACAGTTTTAACTTGGCTGTGCATATTATTATTTTTTTATTATTATGATAAGATGAACAAGTACAAAACAAAAATGTGCACATAGACATGACAATTAAAGCAACTGCAAATAAACAAAAACAGGCAAAACAGAAATAAACAAAACAAAATCAAAATACGCAAAACATTAGCAAAGACAAATACACTTTAAGTAGATATAATAAAAGTCAAGTAGTAAGTTTTAGTAGTGTATAAGAAACGTGTGAATGTGTGTGTGTGGCAGTGTAATACATTAAAGTGAGTGGCTGAGTGGGAAGTAGCACGAAAAATAAACAGAAACAAAATTGAATCCCTTCCTTGCATTCTTAAAGGACTGTGAAGTTGGAGAAACTCTGGTAACTTTAAGGTGATATGTCCCTGACTGTCAATACCATGTGATGCTAAGCTGTGTATGATTACAGAATGTCATTACCCAGTTTTTGCGTTTTGTTTTGTCTTTAGGTCTGTCTTTTCTTTAATTATATATTTACCCTTTGGGGTGGGGGAGTGGATTTTTATATATATATATATATAGTTTGACTGTTATATGCTTTGTTAAATGTATTGTATTTTTTTTTTTATGTAAAAAATCAATAAATACAAGTCAAAAAAATAAATAAATTGAAGATAATTGAGAGGAAAAGAAGAGATGGAAAAAAAAAATTGCTGTGCATATTAGACATTTTCGTGGCAGCCTATTTGCTTTATGTGTATTCCCTTACTGACAAAAAAAAAAAAAACTCTTAATCAAGGCTGCTTATTTAATATCCTACCCAACGTTACGTAGGAATATTCTGGACGACTTACTCTATTTTCAATTTAATTTATTTTCCCCTCCGAGTATCTGGTCCCATGTTTCCACGGTTTCCACCCAGTGCAGATTTATCTTTTAATCCAATCTAACGTTAAAAAATTGAAGACTAGTGAGGAGTCATTAAGAAAAAGGAGGGCTGACAACCCCCCCCCCCCCCTCCTTCACTAGCCTAGGCTTTCTAGTGTCTACAGCCCCAACCGACGAAACATCCGGCCCCTCGGCTCACAGCTCTCCAGAAAGTTCCTCGCTGTGGAGCAGCTATAAGAACCAGCCATCTGCCTCCACCGCCGGCAGCAACTCGACCGAAAGCCACGGTACAATTAAAACCCTGACATGTAAGTACACTAAACTATCATTTGAATACAAGCTGATATCAGAATAAAGCTAGCGGCTTCATTCAAACCTCACTTATCGAGTAGAGAGAGAGAGAGGAATTATCATTTAACCACATGTGCTACCCTAAGATAACCTCATGTTATCTGTTTAAGACATGCATTACGTCATTCTGACCATGCGTTAACGTTATAGTCGCAATTTAAAGCTAAATATGAGTAACGAGGAGGGAGCTTTGTAATTTGATTGTGAAATGTAGCTTCGTGTAGCAGTAGGTCTCATTTATAACCTCATGGGGCTTAAAAAAAAAAAAAAAAAAAAAAGCGACGCCGTGTGTTTCTGGTTTCTTTTGTTCTAGTTTGCAACCATGGTCCACGAAACGGGTTACTATGACCTCCTGGGTGTCAATCCGACCGCCTCGCCGGATGAAATCAAAAAAGCCTACAGAAAACTGGCGTTAAAATATCACCCCGACAAGAACCCCAATGAAGGAGAGAAGGTGAGTACGTTACATAACAGTGTGTGTGGGGGGGTCGGAAGGGGGTCCCTGACTCCCCTGCAGCCGTGTATGGGCCGGTGGAATGCCCTGCTGTCTATATTTAAACTGCACGCCTTGTCTAGTTAGGACCTTTCTAGAAAGAGCTAGACTCAGCTTCTCTGTTTGGGCACATTAAGCTCTCTGTTTAATGTTTAATGATTAGTGGTTGGAAAGTTATTGTGAGTTAGTGTTTTTTTTTTTTAAGTGGCCATTCACTGCCTGCCAAAATACACATTGACTGCTGAATGCTCATGATGCTGATGCCTTTTGATTGGTTAAAAAAAACTTTTTTTTTTTTAATGTACATAAATGAATCCTAATGTTTACGCAGTATTCAATAATATAGCTTACAACCTGTTGTCATAGCGACATGTTGGAGAGTATAGTGGAGTCAGTATGCAGGACCATGTCAACACATTCCACGTATTCATTATACTGAATAGGCAACCTTTGCATGTGTCTCGTCAATATTTTGCATATTCCTGTGAAAACAGCAGTTTCATTCAAAATCACTGCATGGGCAAAGTGGGCAAGTTGATTATGTACGGGTGTGTTAAGGTCTTAGTTTGGTTTCTTTGCCTTCTTGCTTTTCGTAGTTTTTCAGGGAAGGGGCAGTCAGTGAGAGAGAGAGAGAGCTTGAGTGAGAGAGCTGCAAGCAACAAACAACAAACTATTTTATGTATATAAAAGGATTATAATGTTTGTGTGTTGGTAGGGGTGGAAGGTGAGTTTTTGTCCAGGGCCTGTGGTCATGAAAATGCCTCCCTGCATGTTGCACATAGTTTTATATTTTCCAAGCAAACAAATATTTATATTTAAAAACGATTTGACGCTTTGAATCACATGGTTGACTTATTTCTTCTGTGCTGTTAATGCAAAACATAGTTATTCCCCTTTTAAAACATGCGATATCTGTTCAAATAAAGGTTTAACAAAAAAAAAAAAAAAGCCCCAATATGATGAGGCAAATGTATGTATGTGACACACTTGGTCGGGATAACAACTTGATTGTGATTAATTATTTTTGAAAGCTCTTACTAAGGTTTTGATTTTAAAATGAACGGCATTGGATTTTTTTTTACTTCCACAGTTCAAGCATATATCCCAAGCATATGAGGTGCTGTCAGATCCACAGAAGAGAGACTTGTATGACCAAGGAGGAGAACAAGCAATCAAAGAGGGAGGCATGAGTGGAGGATCTCCGACGGACATTTTCAACATGTTCTTTGGAGGCGGTGGAAGGATGCAGAGAGAGAGGAAAGGTAAGATGTATCACATTTTACAAGTCATGTAGCAGCAGTTGCATCTGATGTATGTTTTTTTTTATTTTTGAAATATCTAAACCTAGAAAACATTTGAACTCATCTACTTATCCTACAGGGAAGAATGTCCTCCACCAGCTGAGTGTTACACTGGAGGAGATGTACATGGGCACCACCAGGAAGC